CTATGGCCGTAAGTGCAGATCCCCTCTGTGCTGGGCTGAGGTGGATGACACGCAGCTAGCCAGGGGTCAAGTTCCCGACAGTACTCTCACTGGTCCTGAGATCATCCGAGAGACAACTGAAAAGATTGTGCAAATCCGAGAACGACTGAAAGCCTCACGAGATAGACAAAAGAGCTACGCCGATAAGAGACGAAAACCCTTGGAGTTCCAGGTTGGTGACCGCGTCCTTCTGAAGGTCTCACCCTGGAAAGGCATGATACGCTTTGGGAAGCGTGGAAAGCTAAACCCAAGGTACATTGGACCGTTTGAGATCCTTGCTAGGATCGGTCCCGTAGCATACAAACTCCAATTACTGCGAGAGCTCAGCAACATCCACCCTGTTTTCCACGTATCGAACCTAAAGAAGTGTCTGTCCGATGAGACACTTGTGATTCCTCTCGATGAGATCGAAATCAACGAGAACCTCAACTTCGTGGAAGAACCGGTCGAAATGATGGACAGAGAGATCAAACGAATGAAACAAAGTCGCATCCCGATAGTGAAGGTTTGTTGGAATGCCAAGCGGGGACCTAAATTCACTTGGGAGCGCGAAGATCAGATGAAACTGAAATATCCGCATCTCTTTCCTAATCCATGATTTGTATTCTATGTTCGAATTTCGGGACCAAATTCCCTCTAACGGGGGGATGATGTGACAACCCAAAACTTCGACCGTTTCCGTTACGCGATTTCCGTTAATAAAAAAAATTCGAATTCATTAACTTTTCCGTCAAACTTCTTGGTTTAGAAAATAATCTAGTTATATATAATTAAATTATTTACGAGTCGAAACAAAAAATCGCGCGGGAACCCGAATATCTCGAAAAACCAAACATTTCCGGTCTAAGTGAGGTTACGACCGTAAACCCGTTTACGACCGTAAACCCGTTTACGACCAGTAAAGAGTGGACCCCACCACCGACCACAAAACCCCTATAAATACGAGACCTCCACCTTCATTTGAATATTTCTGGCCAAAAACTCTCTCCTTCTCTCTCTAAGAACCTTGACCGTAAACACCTAAAAACACCTTCAAATTTCGGGAAACATCGAGAAACACCGTTTGGAGTCACTTCGGAACGACTGGAAACGCTTATCTCTTCGAAATCAGCACCATCGTTCTTGAGTTTACGGTCCACCTTCAAAGACAGTAAACACTGTTCTTGAGTTTACGGTCCAAGCCTTCAAAGACCGTAAACTTTGTTCTTGAGTTTACGGCCGTAAACTCATCAAGCCTTCAGAAACCGTAAACTACCAGTCGACCGTAAACCCTTGTTCACGGCCGTAAACACCTTTTAAGTGGTGCTTTTGACTGAAAACCCACTTTCATCGATCGATCAAGTCCCGGTAACATTCATCAACCGTATACAAGTGTTCCTCTAACACTTTATCTAACGAAATTACTAATTTAGATAAATATATGTATTTATTTGATAATAGGATTTCGTTAAGTGTCACGTGCAACAACTCGAGGATCTTCATTTCAGTCAACACTTTCCCACAACAACTGTGAGTTCATACCCCTACATTTTCCGTATTTTTAATGTTTCCAGGGGGGGAATACAAGCTAAACATAAATGTTTTCAAAACTTATGCAAATCTCATACTTTAACCCTTTTGTACTGTGTTGAGCATAAGGGACGTTTTCACTAAAATTTGCATAGTTTTCCGGACACGCTATTCACTATACATGCAAACTATAATTGGTATAGTTTGGGATTTTCTAAACATAACGAGTACAGAAACTTTCACTACTAAACATATACACTAAGACATAAATAGTTTACAGTTACATCACTACTTTATCATGGTTTTCATAACTGTAATTATCACTATATACGGTATACATACGAATTTTCACTACGATAGAACGCTACTACACTACATGTAAACTAGATTGTACGATACTGTGAGGCGCTACTTCACTACTGTACCCTTAGGTGTACAGGGATAAATCCTACCATAGTATAACCAGAGTCTCCTGGAGGGAGAGCGTGAGATTTGTGAATAGATCTATTCGGGACTGACAATCCCACATATGGACTGCTAGCTACAGTTAGGCGGGCACGCCTGAGATGTACAAATGTCATTTAACTCGACGCCTGAAGAACGTTGGAAAGGTCTCTAGTCATATCAAGCATGGTTATACGACTCACAATATGTATAAATCACATTTAGTTTACAACCTGGCACTCTTCAACAGTTTTATTTTTACTAAATAGGACTGATACACACTACGTATACTGGCTAAAGCCAGGGTTTTCAAACATAACCGATTATGCAATGGTTTCACATACAAAATACTTATACTTCATGATTAGTTTTAGCTAGTCACATGAGGTAGTATTTTCGCATATCACTATAGTTTTCAGTAACGAACATTCATGGTTTTATACGAAATCGATAACGCTACCTTTTCACTAAAGAAAATATCGGATTTTCTTGGAAACATACAGATATTCATGGTTTATTACAGAACTGATAACACTACATTTTCACTAAGGAAAATATCGGATTTTCTTGAAACTATACAAATATTTTCCGAACTCATCAACGATTTTCACTACAAACCACCGCTTATGAACTCACCAGCTTTATGCTGATACTCTTTCAAACTGCTTGTATTCTCAGGAAATCAGTAGACAGGTACTTGCTGGATTTTCAAGGAACTGGAGCAATAAGAGTTTTATGTTTATACTATACAAAACTATTGGATGTAATTCAAACAAAGTTTCAGACAAAGTTTCAACTGATGTAAACATTTTATTTAAGTATTCATTGTAATGGTTGTGTTGCTATGATTGCTGTTATTCATTGGTTGTGATGCTACACATGACGTCCTCCGCCCCGGAACGTTTCCGCCATCGGTTTCGGGGTGTGACATACAGTGACAATGGGAAGAAATGGCAGACATTTTGCGAGGAACGGTCGCTTTTTCAACCGTTTCACAACGGTCAAGTAGTTAAAAAAAATTACATTTGAACTCCAATATATATACACATATAACTTTAAATTTTTACCTACACATTCAACCTATTTCACTCATCTTAGTTCATACAACTCAACCAAATTCACATTCAATCACTATGGATCAAAACCCCAACACTCCTCCTCCAAACACAAAAACATCCCCTCCTCTCAGTTTTGCACAATATGAGGCGTACACGAACATCTTCAACTCGCAAAGCTCACCACAACTTCCATTTTCCGGGAACTTTTTCGATTATGCCTTACCCCACCACAATTCCCTACAACCTTTCCACAAAACATTTTCAACACATTCGTTACTATGCAACAAAATACCACACAACCACCACCCACGCAAGAAACAGATGCTGAGATGCAAGCGGAGGGGAGTCAGAAAAAAAGGGACAACAAATGGAGAGCAAAAAGGAAAGGGAAAGCGGTCGCGGTGGAGCAATCGGTCGAAGAACCTCCAACATGGTGGACTGCGGATGAAGAATACGCTTTGGCGGTGTCGTGGTGCGGGACATCAAAAAACCTAACTCAGGGAAACAATATGAAAAAAGTCGCTTTTTGGGAAATTGTGATCGACAAATTTCGGACTATTTTGAAGAAGGATGAAAATCATCGCTATCACGATATGTTGAGGAGCAAGTGGACTCAAATAAGTAGGAAGTGCACCAAGTTTAATTTCATCTACAACAAACTTTCCTCGCACAAGTAAAGTGGTGCGACTGATTTTGATGTTTTTAGAGCAGCGAGGGACCAATATCATCTCGAGACGGGTCATGTTTTCAAGCACGAAAAGATTTGGGAGATGGTTAAGGACGACCTAAATGGAATAAAACAGACACATTTTCAGAACAACAATCTAAGATGTCTTGCGGCTTGGGTTCGGTTGACGTTTCGGACGCACGCACGAACATCGACCTCAATGCGGACACGGATGAGCTACCGGACAAACTCAACGATATCAAAGAGATATCCCCGCCTGGACGACCGATGGGGCGCGACAAAGCGAGGGGGGCTCAACGACATGCGGAGGAAAGCGGAAGTAGACTTCGTGAGCACGGAGAACTGAAATAGAGATTTGACGCCCACAACGAGATCACAATTAGAAGATATTACTTGCAATGTGAGCATTGGAGTTCCTTCGTCGAGAAGCCGAGAAAGATCGCATTACGAAGGATTTGACAATTCTTCAAACTAGCGAGGATAATATGCCACCGAGACAAGCGACAGTGCTCCGAAAAGTGAAGGCAAAGATCAAGCGGAAATATTTGGGCGACGAATAATGTATCAGTTTTAAGTTTTTTAAATTATTAGGACTACTATATGATTTTGGTAATTTTTTTTTTGCTTTGTAATGTCGTTTTTGGTTTTAGAATGATATGTTTAATTTAGTAGTTAATTTAATAATGATTTATTAATTTATATGTTTTTTTATAAATATTATGAAAATTAAAAAAAAAAAATAAAAAAAATTAGAAAAGTAGAAATTAAAAACATAAAAAAATTATAAAAAAAAAACGGTAGGTGTTATCACATGTTATTTGGTGTTGCTCATTTTCACATTGAGTGTTATAACACCAAAAGTGTGATTAGGATGATGAGATGAACATTTTGAGTGTCATAATATATAATAACACGTTCTCAACACCCAGTTGACTAATAGCATAACACTGATGCATCTGCCTTTTTGTTTAATACCCACATTTTTAACCCACTATTTTTATTTGTGACGTCCAACCTTTATAATTAGTTTTTATATAAATATTAAATATATTATACTTTATAATATATTTTAACTCTATACAGTTTATAATGAAATTCCTGAATTATGATGTAGCAAAAAATAAATTTCATTCCACCTCAGTTTCTTTTTTTTTGTTTGTTACTAATATACCATTATATGCGGTAAATAAAATGTAATATTTGTTCGAATTTTATCGTAATATTTAAGATTAAAATAAATAAAAGAGATTGAGGATGACTTCGCGCACAATCTGACAAGATTTAAAGCACTTAGTGTATTGTTTGCGCATTAAATACTTAGTGTATTTGTTGGCCTCAGAACAGTCATTTTACATTAAATACTTAGTGTATTTGTTGGGCTCAGAACATTCATTTTACATTAAATACTTAGTGTACTCCTCAGGCACGACCTCGATGGTCTTCAGAAGATCAACAGTAGCGTGATTATGGGGAAACCGTTTTTGAGTAACATCGGAGAAGTTATTTGCTCGGTAGTGCCCACGGCCAACTTGATCCTATTTGACCTACAACCATTTGTCCTGCAAATTCTTGGGGGTTTTGCCGTCAGGAACCAAGACATGACCATCGCGTCGAGCGAAGAACATATACTTGTCACCAGTAGCACTAAACCGGAAAAAGAACTTGAATACAAAGGAATCAGGAAGCACACCATTGGCCCAACAGATCATCTCGAACGCCACCATTTTGTTAACAACGTTCGGGGTAAGCATTTGAATACTACAGTCGTTCTTCTGAAGAAGCTCCTATTGGAAGTCAGTGAGAGGAAGGCGTAGACCAGCGTCAAAAGTCTTCAGGTAGATGCCAACCTTGCTAGCAGGAGTGGAAAGAATCATTGAGTCAGTCGCCGAAAATTCCATACCATCAGTCGAGGAAAATCCATAAGCGTCACTGAGAAGCTTAAATTCGGCATCAGAAGGAGTAACACCAGGTTGAGCAGCCATCGAAGCAGAAAAGAAAATAAAGGAAACCTTGATGGAAGAAGAAGGAAAGACAAGAGGAAAAGGTTAAACCGATAAAGAGGATCCTCACCCTTATAAAGAATAAGGAAAGGCGGGATATTTAAAATCCCTGACGCAATGATGTAACTGACTATCATAATGGGCGGTCATGTCGCCGGAAAAATTGAAGCGTCGATTGAATCAGAACTCAATGCGTGTACAAAGCAGTTAAGTCCAGAACATCATATCTAGTCTAGCAACGCTACGACTACTAGGCTAGGGGACTTGATGACGTGCCCCCATCACGGGTCAGGAGTCGCGCTTAGACGCACCAAAGAACTTCCTAAGGCAGACCCACACTTAATATAGCAAGCCCAACGAAACCTCGCGCCCGCAGGCGCCCCTAAGTGCAGGGCGCCCGTGGAGAAAGCCTGGTCCCGCCAAGGGCGCCTTCTACTCCGCGACAAAGCATAACAACTCCAGACGACAAGGGGGATGTTCAGTGCATTACCACCTGAACCAATCGTTAACTCTGACAGAACGAGGAGCACGATTGCCCAATCAGCGCGCCCGATCCTGTCGGGTCTGACGCCATTGTCTCATACGGAGTGGCAGGAAACCTCAGTATAAAAGACCTCCTCCAGTGCCCGGAAAAATAAGTCGCTCTCTCCTAATTAATCCCTAAACAATCCAAGTCTATCCACTGACTTGACCGTCAGAGCGTTTTCCCGGTATCCCCTCCCGGAGAACGGTTGACGGTTCCTCCCTGTTTTGGCCTTGCAGGTTCACCGGAGTAATCAAGATTAGTGAAGAACATCGCCTGGAGACAAGGTCACATCATTATGTAAATTGTATTTCAGGAATAAGATCAAGGTTTTGAGGTTTCTTTATAAAATGTAAGATTACATGTGAATACGGTTTTACAAATTAATAACGATTATTAAGCAAAGAATAAGGCATCCAAGCTAGGTACCAATTCAGAGCAAAAGAAATTTAGGTACAAAAGGAATAAACCAAAGAGTTTGCTTTCGATGACAATTAAAGTCCATGCATGGAAAAGAAAAAGAAGATTTTCAAAATTTACTACTTCATAGCTTGAGATATATGAGGAATGATCCCAAATAAACTCGGATTTTTTTTTTTTTTTTTTTTTTTTTTTTTGGAATTAATTAGGTTCAACTAAACACATGAAATTGGCATATATCGGATACAATTTTACATTGCATTTATCATCTAGATAAAAATGCCCAACCTTAGTTATTGCATTTTCGTGATGGTCAATAAATTCAGCAATGAAAAACTTTGATTTGCTCATTTGTGATTTAAGATCTAAAACAGGCACCAAGTTAACATTATCTCGATCTAAAGACTTCAAGACAATTGCCAGTCTTTTCTGATGTCGAATGTATAGTTCAAATCCAAGTAACACTTATTATCGTCATCAACGAACTACAAAAGATAGAAAGAACCAGAAAAAAAAAGTTGTTAGAAGATTCTAGGAGGTATGTAATGTGCCTACTTATTTGAGAAAAGACTGAAACCTGAAATTCGTTACCTTAGTTTTGGCAGAATATGATCCTCTAGCAAGTATGCCAGAAGGGGTGGTATCTTCAGGAATTTCATGGGTATAAAGCTCTTGTTGAGGACTAAAAGTGCCAATCATTTCTTTCGTCTTGTCAACTGTATAGAACATGTCAGTCGACTGTGCAAGATTATGTAACAATAGACGATACGTGTGTAGAAATGGAACATACCTCTGAGACCAGTTTTCCAAACAGTGTTGGTGTACTTGAGGCCCGACACAATGTTGTTATGAACTTCAAAAGTGAATTTGATAGTGTAACGACTTCCTTCTTTAAGCGTAAACCATGTTCCTTTGATTTTTCCATTATTAGGAATTGGAAGAACCAAATCCTGTCTACCAGGAGATACAATAGCAAGGCTCAAAATCTTGACTTCTGGATCTAGAGTTTCTGCAACAATAATAGCATCCGAGCAATATAAAGACTATCAGAAACAAAAACTAAAATAGAATTTTTTCTTTTAAGCAAAACAAATTAATAGGTTTAACAATTTTTTTTGCTCAACAAAAACAATATTTTTCATACGAGAATCATCTTCATACAAGAAAAGTGATCGAATAATGTTTCTTGATACTTGTGGTAGGACTTGTTTTGCGACACTAAGTGGCCTAGACATCATTATATGTCCTTCACAATCTAATTTTTAACAACATACTCAAATCAAAGCATTAAATTTAGGAACTTTTTTTTTAATGAATTTACCTGCAACAGCGTTAATATCCACAGCTCCAAGAAGTTGTTCTTTCCATCTCATCAAGCTTTCATCGTCCTACATACTCATCATTAAGACACAAGTTTTAGAGGTAAAAACTTTGATTCCGGTACAAGAAAACTGAAAAAATGAAGTTACTTTAAGCGATTACAATTGATCAATGCATATTGCGAAACTCTAATAATTCTTCATATGTCCGGAACATTGTTCAATGGTTAACAACATGAAAAGAAAAGGAAATGAACTAACCTTGTCCGCTTCATACTGTTCTTTAAGGGTGCGTCGAGGGCCGATTTCTATCTTCCCTTGAACATCTTCATCTTCTTCGTCTTCTATTATGCTTACAGAGCTCTGGCTCATGTTCCTATCAATCTTCGCTACCCAAGCAGAATCTTCAACCTCTACATCAGCTCCTGAGTTTTCGATATTTTGGTCTTTATGATCGTTACTCTCCTGTTTTTCAACAAATCCCATGGCTTTGGAACTTGAAACGATATGTACTATTAACAGCTCGTAGGGAATTCCATTCAACAATTAATGGTGTTATAATGAAAACAGACAAATACTAAAGATCTTAAATTGCCAAAGAATAAAGACCAATGATGAACGTACAAAGACTGTATGGCTTTATAGGTCTATACGGGAAAGAATAATGTGGGTGGTGAACCACAAGCTCTTTGTTATTAAAATATTGAACATGGAATATTTAAAAACAGATAGTTTTGTTTTTGGGTCAAAAAATTTGGAAAAGGATAATAAATCCTAAAGGAAATGTACCCATCATCCTTCCAACAAGATAAGACACGGTAAAACCAGAGAGATGAGAGAAAGATTTTTTTATGTTTGATAATTTGAAGCACAAAGAGAGGGAATATTGGTCATGTCACATGTGAATTGTGATGATCTTGAGAATATTATCTACTGAAAAGAATAATGGGGAAGAGAGAGATCATGAAGGTCACTAAGGTGCACTATCTTCCACGAATATGAGACCACGATTTTAGGGGAAACTCAATACATTAGACAGCCTAGCATTGAGTTGATAATTAGAGATGAAAGATACCCTCTTGACTTCTTCTGTTTGTGCACAGCATAACGCAAATTGCACATACCTTACAATTTCTACAAATATTATTAAATCAACATATGGCTAGCTCACGTACAACAGCCATGTCTATAGGCTATAACCCACCCAAAACATAATGAAGAGCATTAATTGCAAATACAGATTCTGGTTTCTGTTTTCTTTAGCCAGAACGTACAATTGAGACCTCAGCCAATAAGCACAAGCAACTGCATGGTACTCTAAGAAAAACGTAGCTTTCTTCTTTGTTTAATGCTACCATGTTGTCTACTAAAGTAACTAAACACTCCTCATTCTTGTGCCAGTAAACCTTCACCGGAGCTTGCACATCAACGTCACACACAGCCACAACAGTAATGGGGTTTGACATGTTTAAAAACACAATTTCCCAACATCACCATCTATTATATCATTTGAGGATTAACAGACAGGTAGTTTTCATGTACTTACATAGAAACCTCAGTACAATAATCCTATTCTACTTTCAAAACGAAACCCTCAACCTAATCTAACATATCTACAAGAATAGATGAAAGCTTGTTACAAATCCTAGAACAAACCCTAATCTTAATATGTGAACTGATAGAGAACAAGAGTGAAAGCAAACTGATCGAGTGAATAATGAATCCAACTTCAGTCATCTAAGCCTTAAGTACCCGAGTCATACCGGATCCTAAGATCCACGTGTAAACCCGGAGGAATTCGTGATATATACATCCAGCCCCCTCAACACTTCATAAATAAACTTGCACAACCTTATAACCACAAACACTACAAAATATATCCAAATTATAAAAGATAACAATATGTTAGTTTGATTATATAAAAAATATTATTTATTTTAACAGTTCCCCTAAAAATAACCTTTTGAAAACAATTCTTTAGAAGAAAAAAGATCAATCAAACACAGTTTATCATTAAGAATCTCATGTTGTGAAGACATAAGAGACTTGGTGAATATATCTGCAACCTGATTAGAAGAACGAATCTTAACCAATTTAACCATTGCTTTTACAATTTTTTCTCTTATGAAATGAACATCAATTTCGAAATGTTTGGTCTTATCATGAAAAACAAGATTCATAGCCAATTTAATGACAGAATCATTGTAAAAATATATATATATATATATATATATATATATATATATATATATATATATATATATATTTACTGGAACAACACTCTTAAAACCAATATCATATAAAATTTTCAAAGCCAAATTAATTCACAAGACAATGAACCCAAAGCCTCATATTCAGACTCTATGGATGAACGAGATATAGCAGATTGCTTCTTGCTTCTCCAAGAGATAGGAGAATCACCGAGATAAACCACATAACCACTAACAGACTTTTAGATAAAAGTCTCTTAGCCCAATCAACATCTGAATAGCCTTTTAACAAAAGATAATCAAATTGAGACTTCAAATAACTAACACCTTTACCATGGCTGAGTTTAAGATACCTTAACAATCTCATTGCAACTTGCAGATAAAGGTGTTCGTTTGGATGGATCGGTTTGATCCAATCCAATCAAGTGAATCCAAATTGATTTCGGTTTTCAAAACATGGATCCGAATAGTCCAAACTAAATTTAAATCCGATCCGATTACAATTCGGTTGGATCGGTTTTTATAATTCGGTTTTTAAAAACTAAAACATTTTAAAACGAAATATAATTATAATATTACGGAATTTTACACAAGAAGAAAAAACAAATTATTTAGTTACGATTTGAAATTTTATAAGCAACTATTATGAAGGTATATTATATTTTAATATTTTATAGATAAATTTTTTTTGAGAAAAAACGCATATTAATATTTTTTATTAGGTGAAACTTTTTGAACCTATTATAAAAAATAAATTACAAAATTACTAATAAATAATTATAGATATATATTAAAAATAAATAAATAATAAATTGTTATTCGGTTTTCTTGGACTATTCAGTTCATATTTTATAAACCATAACCAATCCAAAATCCAAAATAATAATTTGGTTTTGTCGAAAACCAATCCAAAAATCCGAATATCCGAACCAAATAGTCTAATCCAAATTGTTCTATTGGACAATTCGGTTTTATCCAAATACTGAACAGCCCTACTTGCAGAGAGCTTTAGTGGGTTTATGCATATATTGGCTTAAGACTTGAACAGAGTATGCAATATCTGGTCTAGTAATCGTAAGGTAAATAAGTTTTCCAACAAGTTTCTGAAAGTCACTTATATTCTCCAATAAAACATCATTGTTATTATCAAAAACAATATTTTACTCAAGAGGAGTCTTAATAGGTTTGCAACCTAGCATACCAAAGTCCTGAAGTAAATCCAAACAATATTTTCTTTAAGATAAACAAACACCATTTGGAACATCCACAACTTCAATACCTAAAAAATATTTTAATTTTCCCAAATTTTTTATAAGAAACTGAGAATTTCAAAAAAAACTTTTACTTTGGTGATTTCAGACTCACAATTTCCAGTAATAATGATATCATCTACATATACCAACAATATTATAGCCACATTTCTAGAAACTTTAATAGACATAGAGTAATCATTATAACTCTGTTTAAAACCAAAACTAACTAAAGAATTACTTAACTTTTCATTCCACTTACATGGAGCCTGCTTTAAACCATACAAAGACTTTAACAACTTACAAACTCTATTGTTATTTTTACTGTGATATCCAGGAGGTTAAACCATACAGACATCCTCTTCAAGAGAACCATATAAAAAACATTGTTTATGTCAAACTGATACAAATTCCAACCATAGTTAACAACTAAGGTAATAACCACACGAATAGTAACAATTTTGGCTACAGGAGAAAAAGTCTCCTCATAGTCAATGCCATCCCTTTGGTTATAACCTTTATCTACAAGACGAGCTTTATGCCTCTCTGTTTCACTATTGGCCTTATATTTAATTTTGCAAATCCAACGACAACTAATAGGCTTTCTATTTTTAGGTAAACCAGTTGTTATCCATGTATTATTCCTATACTACGCTTCCATTTCTTGATTCATAGCCTTAACCCATTCAAGATTAAGGGAAGCCTCATATTAAGACTGAGGTTCAACAGTTTTATCAAGATTGGAAACAAAAAGCTTATTATTAGAAGATAAATTAGAGTAATTAAGTGTTTTTCTATTGTCATATTTATATTTACCTTCTATAACATATTTACCTTCTAAATGACTACTTTCCTCAATCCTGGCAGGAGAACTAGGAGAGTCAGGAGAATCAGCAGAACTAGGACCCGACCCATCAGATAAAAGGCACATTGGACCCCTTCAAACCCTAACCTAATATCTGTAATTCCTTCTGTAGGACCTGTTCCATTAAGGTTCAAAGGAGAAATAGCACCATCTAACTGATGATCCAGTATCTACGTTCTATTAGAAAAACCATCATCAAAAAAGTTTTCAGAATGTAAAGGTTAATCATAGGAAAATGGATCAATCCCACTAGAACCATCACTAGTCTTACCAAAAACACGACTTTGCATTCTGAACGGAAAAACAGACTCATAGAATTTAACATCCATGGAAACAAAACAAGGAATTAGAATCAAGACTTAAAACTTTATACCCTTTCTTTTATAAAGAGTAACCCATAAAAACACACTTTTCAGAACGAGCAGAAAATTTATCATTATTATTTAAGTTAGTAGAAAAACACAAACAGCCAAAAACACAAAGATTATCAAAATTAGGAGACTTTTTATAAACCAATTCATAGGGAGATGAGCCTTTCAAAACAGAAAAAGAAGTTCTATTAATCAAAAACATTGTTGTAAGAATAACATCACCCCAATACTTTAATGGAATTCCTTATTAAAACATCAGAGATCTTGCAACATTAAGAATGTGCATGTGTTTCCTCTCCACAACTCCATTATGTTGTGGAGTGTAAACACAAGAAGTCTGATGAACAATCCCATTATCATCATTAAAAGATTTAAAACGAAAATTTATAAATTCAGTTCCATTATCAGTCCTTATGGTTTTAATAACAACTTGAAATTGATTTTTTATCATGTTAAAAAATGTAACATAATTTTGAAAAACTTGTTCCTTAGACATAAGAAGAAAAATCCAAGTAGCCCTAGTGAAGCCATCCACAACAGTCAAGAAGAACCTAAAACCACCTACACACTCAATCAGATATGGTCCCCACACGTCTAGATGAATACGCTCAGCAAGAACCTTAGTAACATGAAGACTATTATGAAAAACATCCCTAGTCTGCTTAGATTTATGACAACCCTCACAAGGAGGTAAAGAAACATTATTAAAACTAAGTTTATTTTTGAGAATGTTTATGGCTTGATCAACAGGATGACCAAGTCTACTGTGCCAAGTAAACTTAGAGAAACAACAACATTTTTTGAAATAAAGGACTTATTACCTGAAATATAGGGATCAAGATAATAAAGCCCCCAGATTGATTACCAGTCTCCACCATCCCTTTGGACTGTGAATCCTGAATATGAAAGTTATGTTCATTAAAAACAACTTCACATTTGTTGTATTTGCACAACTTATAAATAGACAACAAATTAATATTGAATCAAGAACAACAAATACATCAAACAGAGTAAGGGCATTTGACAGTTGCATGTTCCTAGTTTTATTAATTTGAGCAGATAAACCATTTGGATGACTAACCCTTAGGTTTAATCTAGACACATCAACAGAATCTTGAAGATGTAACTCAGAACTAATCATATGTTGACTAGCTCCAGAGCCAACAACCCACTTATGACAACTAGTATTAAGAAAAGAGTTACATGAAATACCTGCCGTGTTGGCATTGACCGATGTCTCATCCAACCCTTGCTTATTTTCACCAATGAGACTGAGAAACTTAGCATATTGCTCATTAGTCAAAAAATGACAATCATTACTGTTATCATTAGTTCTAGACCCAGAGAATTCAGTCTGAAAAATAGAAGTTGAATTACTAGAAAAACTTTTGTTTTTACTGTTAACTTTAGACCTTGGCTTAAAGTCCTTTGGATATCTTATTATCTTGAAACATTTGTCTACAAAATGACCTTTAAGACCACAGCTTTTACACTGTGGTATTTGACCTTTAGGTTTATACCTTTTATGATCAACAAGTTTAGACACAAAAGCGGAAGACGAAGTTTTAGAACTGGAGTTCAAAGAATTGGAACTATGTCTTTTATTAGATTCCTCACGAGACACTAAAGAGAAAGCAGTTTTAATTGAAGGAAGAGGTTCCATTAATAAAATGTGATTTTTAACTTGGTTATAGGACTCATCTAACCCACTCAAAATCTGCATTAATTTCATAAGTTTTGAATGATTTTTAAAACTATTAGCAGCTTCAC